TTTTGAGCCCATATGCTGGTGCCCTGGGTTCCTCCTAATGCAGGACAATGCTAGACCTCACGTGACTGGAGTGTGTAAGCAGTTCCTGCAAGATGAAGGCTTTGAAGCTATAGACTGGCACTGAATCTGATGGAGCACATCTGGAACATCATGTCTCGATCCATCCACCAAAGTTGGTGGAGGTTTTTTACCAGGTCAGGGAGGAAATCCATAATGATACCATCCTCCACCTCCTTAGGGACATGCCCAATGTTGAAGGGAGGTCATAGAGACATGTGGAAGCCACACAATACTGATCCTCATGTCGGCCTGTTTTAAGGACATTACATCAAAGCTGGATCAGCCTGTAATTCCTCCACCTTAATTTTGTGTATGACTCCAAATCCAGGCTTCCATTGGTTAATACGTTTAATTTCCATCTGTGATTTTGTCGTCAGGACATTCAACTTTGTACAGAACAAAGTATTCATCAACAATATTTCATTTGTTCAGATCTAGGATGTGTTTTTTGATTCTTCGCTTTATTTTTTTGAGCAGTGTATTTATCAAAACCAAGAGGAATGTTCTTGGCAGAAAACAAACTAATTTAATTGATCTTTAGCAGTTCTGACAGGAGGAGAGGTCAGATTTTCAGAAAGATGCCAAAAGCAGTTTGATAGCTACAGAAATGTATTTGACATTTACCTTAAAATTTAAACTATGTGGTTTAGAGGAAAGTCTTAAATATTTGGAAACTATTGCTCCAAATTCTTGAACAGAAATCACTTTAGTATTTCTTTTTTTAATGTGATTGGAACACGTTGAACTCTGAATACATCATACGCATTAATAAAAGCCCCCTAATGAATACTTTTCTGATGAGAAAGCAAAGCAGAGAAGGAAATGCAAGCATGGGAACCGGAGATGAAGCCAGAAAACCTGCACTCTAAATGACAAATAGACCGCATTAATCAGAGTATGTCCGCCATCATTAGAGTAAACGTAAATACTTGAAGCTAAACTAACTGGAAGCGTCAGGAGAAGTAAGATAATTCCATTAGATTCATCGTTTCATCCTGATCTAGTTAAAACATCAATGTAAACACCTGTCGGAACAGTTTAACAATAAATCAGTAACCTTAAGGGAAGATTCAAATCGATAGCATTTAGTTTCAAGCATGGACTTTGTGGAAGTTAAGGTGTCCTTTTTGCCAAAATGGGTGGATGGTTCTACATCATATATACATGTGTCCCACCTGGATTATGGATTAATCTCAGTTCTAACTAAATGCTGAGATCTGGGGTAGATTTTGAAACTGCATCAGGATGCCTCACTGCTGGCTGCTCCTCTCAGGCTCCATGACCTTCAAACGTCCCTCTAATACTCAGAAGAACTCAGTGAGGAAAATCACTTTGCAGATGGTCGTTTTGGGGCAAAGCCGGCTTCTGCTGCCAACATTATTCAAGCTCTACACTGGTGGCAACGTGCCTCGTTAACACATTCCTCAGGAGCAGGCTGTGTTCTCTGCAACTGAATCTCTCAGATTAAAGATCCTAATAAATCTGAAATATATTTTTCCAGTTGTTTATGATATAGTGATGAAAGTGAAGCAAAGCGGCTGTTCTTTTCTAGCTAGAGTCTGAATTGGAGTCAAATTGGAAGCTAAAAGCGTTTTTAATAAAAGATTCTTTGCTAACATTTTCCCACCCATCCTGTTTGCCTTTAGCCTGCTCATTTAAAACCTATTTGCTGTAGAAAAATCAGCCATGAACACAATGTCTACATTCAGATTCATACATAAAAAGGTATAAAAATTAATTCAAGTAGCTCATTTATTTTTTATTTATTTTTTTTTTTAAGTTTGCTATTTTGATTTTTTAAAAATGCATAAACATCCCACAGGAAGAAGGAAACCAACACACACATATGGGCTTGGAAAAAAATGTAATTCACTCCCATATAAAAAAGTACACATACATGACACTTAATTAAATACACATTTCCACGTGTGATTCTTCACTCTTATTTTAAACTGGTGTCAGCAGCAGAGAGAGACTGTCGTATAAAAAGGCTTCAATATTCCCTCCCTTCTGGTCTCCTGACTGACCTCCTGGAACATAAACACATTTGCATAAATAAAAGGTGCACAAATAATAAATTAGAGGGAGATCCAGTCCATTTAAAGTGATGATTTCAACCAGCTCTCTTCTGAAAGGAACGCAGGCGTCAGATATTCGTGGAACAGCCGAAGAACAAAGATATAAATAATAGAAATGGAAAAACGTGGAGCTTCAAGGTATTTTCCATCTCGGCTCATCCAGACAGTCTGCATGTGGCTGCTGTTAGTTCTTGGCCTGCAGCTGCAGATTTACACAACTGTTGAGATCAGAAATGAAGCAGCGGCGGTTTTAGCAGACGGACACCCTGGGAGTTTTTTCCTTTTTTTTTTAAACTAAACTATTACAAAGTGCACTCCAATCAACAACACCTTCCACATTCACAACTCTGGACAAAAATAAACTTTTACACGGTTGATAAAAATACTAATAATGGACTAATTACGTACAAACAGCTCCCCCTGTATCTGGTGTGGAGAAAAAAATCTTTACAGTGGGAGTTAAATAAATGTTCATAAGTTAAACATTAGGGAGTTAAAGGCTTTTACATGTTTGCTTTGGCTGCAGTACCTGCAAAGTATCCAAACTCATTTAAATGTTAAATTAAAAATACAATCTTTGATTCATTTTTTTTTTTCATTTGGGTTTAAGATGACAGAGCAACACAAATTAAAACCTAACTGTAAAATGTGAGAAAACTGGTTCATGATTGTCTTTTTTGTTGTTGTTTTTTTTGCATTTTCACAAATCTAAAAGACATTTCTTTGCGTTCTGCTTCTTTTTCTTGTGTAAATTCCCCAAAATAAAAAGAGTACAGATTGAAGTTGTGAAGTTTCAAAACATCATCCTATTTTGCTATTGCTGCTTTTTTTTTCTCTCCTCCCTCTTTTCTGCCTCTCTTCCTCTCACCCCTTAATTCTTACCCCCTCTCCTTCTCTTCCCTCCCTTTCTGTCTTCGTTACATACGATTTGATTTCCTAAATATTTTTAACAGGTTTTTCAAGCATAAAACATAACTTTATGGCAACAACCGTAAGGGTCTGCTTGTGAAATCATATCTGTTGGGCTATTATTCAACTCTGGGATGTCGATTCCCAGAGTTATATTAGCAAAACAGGAAACAGGGAAGTAAAAAGGACGAGTGATCATAGAAGCAGCACAGTAAAGGGCAGATTAGACTTCTGCTACCGCACACATCAAATGTCGCTTGGGTCTGGTCGCCAACCAGTTCTGTTGGAATGCTTCTGCACCATCAGTCTGGAATTTCTAGGGATGAACAGCAGTTTCTCGCCAAAGCCTATTCGAGAACTCGTCAGAACTTCGGTGAATCGCACCGAATCGAGAAGAACGACCACACAGATAGCCAGAAAGGCATACCAAGGACCAATTACAGCTGCTTTTTGTCTGCACACTTCCGCTTGAGGTCTTTGCGGGATTGTGACCGTCTGACGCGTAATCAGGATTCTTTTTAGGTGCGCGACGACCGTTTTAGAACCTCTGCGCGGAGGCCGTGGTCGCACACAGAGACAGATTTGACGGTGGCAGAGGCTATGCATCAGAAGCATAAATTGGCCTTAACTCTGGAGGAGCTGCAGCTCAAGGCTAGTTTATACTCAGAAACCCGGTGGTCTGCGTGTGTCACAGTGAATGCAGAAACTCTGCTGCACCTCTCTAAAATTGCAGCTGACCAGGAGACAGGAGGCCTCTGATTGGTCAAATCTACATCCGCTCTACACTATACCTATTTCCTGTTTGGTACCTTACCGCCTTCTTTTGTTTGTATGACTGCCACTGTGGAAAAAGACTGGTGAAGTTTGACCAGCTAGACAAGCGAGGTGCACGAGAACGCCGGGACTCTACTTCCACCTCAATCCCCGCTCTTTTTCGCCCTCATGTTCCTCCATTGTTGCACAAACTTGCCCCCACTTCCTCACCACCTTGACCGTATCTAGACCCACAGCTAGTTCCTGATTGTCCCTCTTGCGTTGTGGCGTGGAATAACATAGTGCAGACCACACTTCAATATTGGGGATATATCAAAAATTAGGGATGCACGATATTGGGATTTTGGCCGATATCCGATATTTTAAAACTCATGTAGCCGATAACCGATATCGATACCGATGTTAAAGCTGGACAAAAATAAGTAGTCATTGAAAATAGCAGTTTTGTTATCCATTTCTGACACTTTGAAAAATAATATACTCAACTATATTTTCATATGCTGATATCAAATTGATTTTTAAAAACGCGGTATCGATCTATTTTACTTTCAAAATCTCGTGAAATTTCATCGTTTTGTTTCAAACTCTCGTGATATTTTGCAAATTCTTGTGAGATTTTGTTAGTAAAATAGATCGATACCGCGTCAATATATCAACATATAAAAATATGGCGACATTTCGATGACATATAGCAATATTTCATTAGTAAAAAAGATTGATATGGTGTTTTTAAATGGCAATATATCAGCATATGAAGATATTGGGATATTTTAATGTATCAATATTTTTTCCCTCGTCTTTAGAAGTTTTTAAGTCTGTAAAAAAGAAGTTTTTGAGGAAGAAGAAGAAGTAGTATTTTTTATTGTTTTTAAGACTTTAGAAACTCAGAAGCTGATCAAATATCGGGTTAAATATCGGTGGGGTGGCCGATGTCCGATATTCAGTTTTAAGGCCGATACCGATAGGGGGCCGATTATATCGTACATCCCTATCAAAAATATCTATAACAAGCTCACTGCGACACACTGCTGCGGCCCTTCAGGTGGGAGAATCTGTCAACTGGACTCCAAGCTTGGAGAGGTTGTCAAAAAGCTGCAGCAGAAAGGAAGCGATAAGGAATTCTGTTTACAGATTTTCACAAACCTTGGAGGACAGACAGTCAAGTAGCAGACGGTGCTCCAGTCAAATGAGTCTAAAAATGAGCTTTTAATTTGAAACTCGCTGTTGTTAAACTAACACATATTCCCCTGTAAACCCCCTCCCACGGTCAGGGAAGCTGAGACTTCTGAAGGCCACACCTCTCAGATTCTTAATCATCATAAATCCCAAAACTACTGAACGTATTTTTCTTTCACTTTACAGCTTTGCTCCGTTTTGTGTTGCTCAATCATGGTTTTAAACTGAAAAAAAGGAAAATTTAAGGTGTTTGAAAACATGCAAATCAGTAAAAAGAGAAGCTGTTTGAATGTGAAAACAATTACTAAAGCTTTTGCACTAAAACAGAAAGGTGTTTTTTTTTTTTTTTAGCTTTTTTTAAATGTCAGCTGTTGGCGAGATTAGCTTGACGACTTTATGACTCCGGTCTTTGCCAAACCATCATTAGCCTGTCATGCTAAACCCAAACCAATCCCGGCTCCAGTGAGCTTCAATGCCAGTGGGAATTTCCAGTGACATGTTTAAACAGTCTTGGTCACGTCACCAAAGTAGACAGAGATTGAGGTTTTCAGTGCACTTATATGAAAATGTACTTGTTGAAAGAAAGGAGGAGTGGAAACCCAGCATCTTCGCTGTAACTTAAAGTCAAACATGGGGTTGTTTGAGTTTATGTGACATGATATTAAATCGATGTCTCGTGCTTAATGAGATGCCAAAAACAGTGAGTGAAGCTGCCTTAGACAACACGTTTCTGTTTAATATGACGACGAAGGCTCACGGATAGCTAAAAAAAAACACAGCAGTTCAGAGAAAGATCAACCTTTCCTCTTCACACTCAGAGCCAGCGCTGCTCTCAGAAAAATGTTTGATTCTCAGTGCAGAACGCCCCACATGGGACGGTCATATTATACTATCTGGGGAGATTTCAGAGAGCCATACAGCCATTAATCCCCCCCCCCTCTGGTGAGCACTCTCACTTCCTGGGCAGCAACGCTGCGAGTCTCTGCTTCTTAATTGGAAGGAAGTGAATCTCCTGGGAGCTGACCTTCTTTAGCTTGATGGCTCTGTTTTTAGTGACCTTTTTATGAGGGTTGTTGGGGTCTTGCTCCCCGTGAGACGATGACGGCATCCCATAGAGCTGCTGCAGCGAGGCCGCCTGGCTGCCGTCCCGTTTGATGGAGAAGTTCTTGGTTGAGACTCCTGATAGACCTTTGATTTTCCCACAGAGGATGGCGGGAATGGCATCTTTAACTGAGACGATGACCTTGGCCGTCTGCGACGTGCTCACTATCTCCAGGTTTCCGGCTCCGCTGAGAGAGGCCTCTTGGCCCAGAGAGCTGGAACTAGCCACGCCGGTGTCCACCAGCCACTTGTGTTGCCGGCTGAACTCCAGCGAGGTCAGGCTGCCCAGGAGTTTGGAATCTAAAGCTGGAGAGCATTGGACACCCAGGGACAAAGCAGCGCTGGGCGCACCCTGGCCTGACTCTAAGGATACTTTCCTTTCTGACTGAACACAGGTTTTCCTCACGCCAGGCACAGACAGGTCGAGAACGTTTTCCTGGTGAGGACTGGGGTATTCCTGTTTCGGTTCGATCGGACACGCCTTGACAGAGAGGTCCAGAACCTGTCCCTCCTCTAAAGGCAGCGAGGTCAGGGGCGCGTTCGGTGGCTGGGAATGAGAAACGCACTTCCTTGAAGACAAAGAGGGAGAGGTAGTATCTCTGGGTGACGTCTGAGTGCTTTTACTCACAGTGCAAACTGGTTTTGGCTGGCTCCCTTTTGAGTCCTCACTTGGAGCAACCGGGATGGGGATGGGGAGGGGGACGGGCAGAGGCACTGGGAGGGGAATGATCACAGGATAGGGGACTAAGAGCGTGGCAGGAGGAACTAGAGGAGCCAAAGGGGAGGTGTAGGGGGGTGTGAGAGGAGGGAGGGGGAAAAAGGCAGAGCCTGGGGACTGACAGGAGGATGATCCTGCCTGGGGAGGGAAGAGATCCTGCAGAATAGCTGCAAAAGCTGGATTCTGCAGAAGAGACAACAGGTTCTCTTCCTGCGTTTGTCCTGCCCCCTTCGGGTCAAGAGCCGGAGGTAAAGCAAACGTCAGAGGGTTCTGACAAAGGTTCTGCAGGGGTAACTGCGTACAGGGGGGGGGCTGAGGGATCACAGAGGGACTCATGTGCTGTAGGACCTGCTGGTCCAGAACCAGAGGGAGAGAAACCGGGCTTTGGCTCGCTATCAAGAACGGTGCTGCGCCTATTTGTCCCAGCGGAGGCGCCGCTGCTCCGGCCATCTGGAGGTGGATGGGCAGCATCAGCGGACTCTCTCCCAGACACACCGGGTGGAGGACAGTGGTGGCCACCTTCAAGGCCACGCCTCCAGGAGGCTCAGCGGCGGGACCCACCGCTGACGGCGAAGGGTCGTCTATGTGGTTAGACATCCCTGCTTTGGTCGGGCTGCTCTCACACGGGTCAGCGATGAGGGGGCTTTCTCCGTCTTCCACTTTACTGACGACCTCCCCTCCTCGCTCCTCAGCGCTGCACGTGTCATTCTGCGGCTCGGCTGCATCAAGACGCACGTCATCGTTGCCTTCCATGATTCAGTCTGAAAAGTTGATAAGAGATCATGAGGTTAGTTTGAGGTTAAGACCTTTATTCCACTGTTAGTCCAGTGTAGAATCTTCTCCACAATAGGAGACGCACCAGGCATCAAATACAACAGCTGACCTTTTTGCTTTCACCTAAATATAAAGTGTGGAATTAAAGTTTAGTGACTGTTGGGAAAATATTCACTAAGCGGATAAAAGATCAAATAGAAAAAATAAAATCCAACATGATATCGAGGCAGAGAAGGAAAAATAGCATCTCTGAAGCTGCACTCAGTTTAGATACAATACTCATCTACTGATTCAGGAACAAAAAAATTTTTCCACCAAACAAAGAATTTGGTACAAAGTCTAACTTTCTGCCTTCATCTCTAATCCAAATCTTATATATCTACATTTCCTCTCAGTAACTTTTGTATAAATATCTCTTAGGCATCGCTGCTGCCTCCATCTCCCATCTGTTGTTATTTTGTTTGATTTGTTAATAAATGTTGTTGTTTTTTTTAAACTGAGACTTGTGTATTTTTTTTTTCACTGTGTCATTTTTATCATCTAAAAGGAGGAAGAAAAAGGAAGGCTCTGCTCCAAAAATCAGCAGCTCATATCACTGATCGGTTATACTGATGTTAAAGTAATCAGCATCAGCCTTCAAAAACCTGTATTTCTCTCTACCTATGACCAAATAATAAATGTATATATATATTTTTTTTTACACCCGAACAAGGTTTGGATCCGACGCCAATTGAATGTTTGAGCCTGTTTCTTTTTCAGAAATGTACGGATCATTTAAACAGTCCGGTTTCCAGCTACAGACAAACTCAGAGCCATTATCTAAACTTAGGGTGAGCCATTTTAATCCGATGCAACCCAGGGATCATCCTCTCCCTAATATAAGGCAGTAACATTGGATTGGAAACATACCCTCAGTATCATGCTTCCGCCACTATGTTTAATAGTGTTGACTCTTCTTCATGTATCTCCAGTAACCTTTTTACTTTAAGCTTTTGCAGCTTCTTTTTGTATCTCTGCTTCTGTCTCCTTGAACCCCAGTCGGCCTCAGCAGATGGCCGCTCACACTGAGCCTGGTTCTGCTGGGGGTTTCTTCCTGTTCAAAGGGAGTTTTTCCTCTCCACTGTCGCTACAAGCATGCTTAGTGACTGCATTCAAGTCAATGAGTTGACGTAATCAACTGGTTTTCCTTAGATAGAAAACTTTGAATCAATCTGACTGGATGATCTGGTGAACTATAAAGTGCCTTGAGATGACGTGTTGTGAATTGGGGCTATAGAAATAAACTGAATTGAATTGAAATTAGGAATATATTTGCTGATGCTAATTAAATTAAATTAAAGCAAAAACAATCTTGAGTTTTAATATGAAAAAACATTGATTTTATTCCATTTTATCCTCTGCACTAACAAGCTGTTTGACTCCAGGCTTTCACTGCTGAGGACTTTCCTCCTGCAGGGAAAAGTGTTTCCATTTAGCTTTAACATGCAAGGATCTGTGCACCTCGCTCTTATCTACTGTATGGGGCTGCACACTTATTTTACGCATATAACTGCCCCCTAAACTAAAAAAGTGACAAGATTGTTAAAAAAAAAAAACTGTTTAAAAAAAAAATAAAAGTGTAGCCCCTGAGGGATTTGATAATAACATTTGTTAAAATAATTTAGGGCTGGACGATATGACCAAAACTTATATCCCGATAATTTTGGTTGATTCAAAATAATTTGACATTGACGTGAACAAAATGAGTTTCAGAAAGACTTTAAATCTGTCTAAAATAAACAAGTGCATCATGGCAGTTGCTTCATGCACTTGTTTATGTCTATTTTTAATCAGAAATTGTTTTGATTTATTCATATTATACTGTAATTTATATTGATACTGATGTAGCCCATTCCTAAAATTACAGTTATATAGCATATGTCACATATGTTGAGGTAGAACCATCAAAGTCCATTGTCATGATATATTTGCCTCACCGTTAACCGGGACTCTGATGCTTCAGTGGATTTCATTTGGAGGCTCCAGCCTTGATGGTTAATGATTTCAACCAAGGAGGCCATAAAAAGTCAACTGAATCAAACCTGCAAACAGTTTTGCCTTCCAGTGGGAGAGCGACGCCAAAAGATCACAAACCGGTTTTAGAAAGGATACAGCAGGATAACATTATATTCCTGGAATGGCCTTGACATCACTGTATGGAAAAAAGCGGACAGTCTGTGGCAGGAAACCAATTCATTTCAATAAACTTGACCAACACTCCGGAGAATGGTGATCAGATTTCAACAAAGGCCGGGAAATTAATTGCATTCGCAATATAATCTTTGCGGCAGATTCAACAGGACTGCCGCGATGATGGAGAGAGGTCGTTATGATTTAGTTTACTGACTATTTGACCATGTCATTTATTTGCGAAACAAAGGAATGTTTGGTTGAAATATTTGCCAAAATATTAGATTTAAATGGAATTTTGTAAGTCAGTGATATATTTGACCTGAAGGATGGGTTTTAATGCCCTCAGTGTCCAAACCTGATGTTTACCTGTAGAAACCGAGATGCAAAAACTCCCCCTACACTGCAAAAAAATTTAATCTAAGTAAGTTTATTTTTCTTTAAAAAAAGAGCATTTCTTTCTTGAATTAAGCAGTTAAGTGATACACTTGGCCAATGGAATAAGGCAATTTACATCTAAAATAAGAAAAAACAATTGCGTTGTCTTATTCCAAGTGGATATTATCTAATTATCTCATTTTAAGAGTAAAAATACTCATTCCATTGGCAAATCTTATTATTTACTTCCTTCAATTATGCTAAATACACAAATTTTAAGACATTTTTACTCGTTTCTACATCGTTTTTGCAGTGTAAGTGGCATTTGTAGAAAAATAAGGCTCAGGCTGTACACTTTAACTATCACAATAATCAACAACTGTCTTACATTAAACAGTTTCTTTCTGGATATTCCTTTATTTCTGTAGGAATGAATTTCTATGTTTCACCCCTTTTAAGTTTAATTTCTACCTAGTTAGAGAAATGCAAGCTAAATTCAAACTTGTACATCAAATTCTTCTAGTTTAAGGTTTGCAGAATTATTGCTTTTTGGGACAATCGAATAACATTTAAGCATAAAATGCACGTGACATTTTGACACGATAAAAGTTCCACAAAGCGATACATCGCAGCACACCGGGCAGATCCTGCAGGATTAAAGAATTTGCAGCTACATAGCTGGATGTTTTTCTTCAATGGGAGGTCTAACAACTCAGAAATTTTTTCCTAATTTTGTTGCATGCAAAGAACACGTTAAGAAAATCCAGAAATGGCACGAAATTTTTATACTAAAAAAAAGTTTTGTCATTTTTTTTCATATTTTATTAAAAATCTTTTTAGATAAAATATTTTCATGTTTTTTTTTTTGTGCCATTTTTGTTTTTTTTTAATGTGGAGCTGATCAGGTCCAGCTGCAGCAGAGCATCCTAAAACATGACATTTCCGCCCTCATGCAGCAGCCAGGAAACTCATATCCTGGAACGGCGTATTAAATTTAGTTTTTTTTAGAGAGCAAAGGTTCGCTCCTGGTAAAGTTCACACTTAGATTACATTTTAGACTACAAAATGCCTTCATTTGGCATCTTATAAATTGCTTTCTGGCAAAACTTTTTGGTAAACCGGTCCTTGGCATCATCAGTTATTTTCAAAGTTCTCCCCTTGAAGTGGAACGGCTGATTTCAAATGCAGAACTCTCTAAATCCATGAAATGACTCTTTAGGTTTTCTCACTTCAACAGTCAGGAGAAAACCAAACTGATTATCTTTGGTTTAAACGGGCTGAATTAACATGAGCGAGCAAGCTCAATTTTTTTTGCCATTTTAATGTGAACAAATGTGAGAATTGCCTTAATTTATCCTCATAAAAAAACTCTTTATATGTCCAGAAAAGTTCATTTTTTGTGATGAAAATGTACTTCCTGGATGCCTGAATTGTATATGATGTCTAACCCAGAGGATATGGCAGACATTGACAGTGTCCATTAGGAGTGGGTATTGGCAAAGAAGTCATGATTCAATTCGAATCACGATTCACATGCCACGATGCGATTCTATCACAATGCATAACGATACTTGAAATATTGCGATGCATCGTGATGCATTGCGATATTTTCCCTGAACACTGTAAGAAAAAGATACAGCCATTACCAGTGGCTGACTGGCTGGGTATGATCTGGATCGTGTCTTCAATTGATACATAACTGAAAGCAACTGAATTCATACATAGCTGTATTTATTGAAATTACTTTTGGAGGTTTTGCCATGAAAACAAATACTGGACAGAAATATTACTATTACTGGCGTGGACACACTGACAAAAAGATCTTAGGATTCAGCAAACTTAAAATAACAAAATAAGGATAATCAGTGCCGTTTACATGGCCTCAGTGGTCCTTTTGCAAATTACGTGCATCATATCAATTTCATTTTCACCTTCTTTGTTTTTAAAGCCCAAATGCATCCAAGCGGGGCGAATTTTCTCAGTCTCCTCCATATTTTGTTTACGAATGACTCGTCTCAGTATCCCGCGGCCGGACATGCTTGTGACACAAAGCAGCAGGCGTCAACACATCCGCAGCGACATCTGCTGGACTGGAAGTTGTATTCCACTTGGTTTGGCTGATGTGCGCCAACCATTAATGTATTTTATGTGTTCATTTTTTTTGTTTTTTAATAATCGATTCTTGTCTTCAAGAATCGATGCAGTAGATCACAATAATTAGAATCACGATGCATCGATATGACGATTATTTTGCACACCCTTAGTGTCCATGGAGGCTTCTGTGCTTATGATTTAAATAGTTTTCTATGAATTTTACAATTTTAGGTGGATTTTTGAAAGCTTTTAATTTACTTAGTGTGTTGCACAGTTCATAGATCAATAGAACAATAACAAGGATTAATTCCAACCTATTATATTTGCATTATCTTCCATAATTCTA